GGATCGCGACCGATTTTTCCGCTCCGCTAAGCGCGCCGCTTTTTTTTCTCGCGGCGCGATCGTCCTCGTCGGTGGACGACCCGCGGGAACAGGAGGAGGAGGAAGAATCGTGCGGTAAAACTGAGCAGTGAAGTGCGTCGCGCGAGGGCTAGACTTCGACGGTCGACGCTACCAACCGCGAGAGCCTCGTGAGTATATTTAAATAGTGTGTCTCTGGCTGGTCAGAGGAAGCCGACAGTTTCTTGGTCTTCGTCGTCGTCGTCGTAGTCTTCTTCTTCTTCTTCTTCTGCATCTTCTTCTTCTCCTTCTTCTTCCTCTTCTTCTTATTCTTATTCTACCGCTCCTTCCTACCGTCGTGTGTCATCATCCTCGGCTTTTCCTCGTTCGGAGTGCAACGTGATACGTGCGTCGAGGGACCGAGGCACCGCGGCACGGGGGTGGCGCGAAATTCTTCCTGGAATATCGAGGATTCGTTTTTTGGAAATCGCCGAACCGATCCGATGAGAGTCCTCGACTCGAGAAGCTTCGATCCGTCGTATCCCTCCGAGATCCAACGAAATCCAGAAGATCCTCTATTTTGAATATATAAGAAGACTGTAGCGTGGGAGCACGGTGTACATAGGGCAAACGAGGAGACGTTAACCATAAGTCACCCGGGCAGGATGTTCCTCTGCAACGATCGACAGGATGATGCCGATTTTTGAACCGCGCGACCCGCAGCCGATTGCAACCAGCTCGTTCGACCAGGTCGTTCGGCATCGTCTAGGATAATCGCAAGTACGATTCCGTACGACGGCGTTCCCGTTGCGTCCGCTGACCCACCAAGGATGATGAAGAGGACGGTATCGCGTTGGGCGAAAAGCAGACAGCCGAGAATCTGTCCGATGGAAGTCCCGATCGCTTGCTGCCGGTGGTACAACACCTCGTGAACAGCTTGTCAAAGGTCGTTTCGTAATCGAACGACGTTTCTTCGCTAAAGGATTCGTCCGCAGAGAGCGATAAAGAGAGAGAGAGAAGCCGAGAAAGGAAGAGCCAGAGATAGACAGAAAAAAGCCAGCAGGAAGACAGAGATTCTCGCGGGAGATTCAAGCGGATTCCGCTCTCGAATAGCAAAGAAGAAGAAGAAGAGTGCCCAGAGAGAGGCGTGTGTGCTTGTTCGGGGTGACCGAGGTGTCGACCTCACCCCCGATCAAACCAGCAAGCAGGTCGGATGATGTGGGCGTCTCTGTTTTTGGCCGGGATCTTAAGCGGCTGGTGGGGCGCACTGGCGCTCGCTGCGGCACCCCCCGCCAATCGGAACTCCATCGAGGAAACGTCGACGAGGACCACCAGCGATCATCCGCCATCGATGAGCATCGCCACCGTTGAGAAACCCCTCGATTACCGTTCGCCAGCTTGGAATTTCGTCACGAGGACGGGGGACCAACCGATCGCTCGTACCCCGTCCGAATCACCGAAGGACGACGGTCCGCGAGTACGGCCGGAAGCGAAGCTGCTGTTGCCGACGTACGAGAGATTCGGTTACTCCGGTAACCTGGACTCGGTCCTCGAGGGTGCCCATCCGCCGGAGGATGCGTCCGAAGAGAGCGCGAAACGTTTGGACGAGTCTATACGCGAGGCATTCGTTTCCTCGTCGAAGCAGGCGAATCGCCGTCTCGAGGACGGGCCGCGTCCAAAGATGGAGGAGTCCGGTCTGACACGACCGCCGCGTCACTCGTCGACGCAAACGCCGTTTCTTTACTCTCCGGGGACCGAGTCGTCCGTCGAGAGGCCACGACCCATCAGATCCACCAAGCAACGACCAAAGAACCGGGCGAAAGCGGACTCGCCCAGAGAGCAGCGACGGAGATGCCGGAACAAGGGTTGCCGCGGACAGAACTGGTGCCCGGACGTGGACGTGGGCAACAGGGCGTACCTGGCGCCGACCGTGTTCGAGGGAAAGGCCAGGAGCATGACGTCCGTGAGGAAACCGGGCTCGAACTACTCGGTGACGTTCGAGGTAAAGCAAGTATACAAGAATCAGCCCGGTTTCCTGCCGTTGAAGAAGAACGACAGCGTCAGGCTGCACTTTCGAGACAAATCGGCGCCCGGCAAGTCGACCGTGTGCGGCTACGACACCGACGGGAAGCAGCAGCAGCAACGCGATAATCAGAGTGGTGTGGTGAGAGCCAATATTAAGAGGGGCAAAGTGTATCTAGTGTTTGTGAATCGCGTGGGACCCAGAAACTTCACGATCCTCGGTGAGCCGGTGATTCGAAGCAAGAAGAACGAACAGGCGGTGCAGGCTGTCGTTCGACCGGATTACGGTGAGTATCGTTATCGTTTCGTTCTAATTAATCCGATAGCTTCGCATCTTGACGAAGATACGACCGTTTCCAAGAGGAGACTCATGGATGCATTTTCATTTTCGATTGCACGGGTTTGGAAGCGAGGTTTCAAAACCCTGTTACTCTAACTTCGAGAATTTGGACCATTCTCTTTGTAATCAAATTTTTATCTTCGCAAGACTTTGTGGTTAGGTTTAAATGAACTGTAAGACTGCCAGAACGAAAGTCTGAACTCATTTTATTCGGGAATTGAATTTCGATGATTTGAATCTTCTGTCGAAATCGACAAGATGTCTTCGACTTTATCAATAAATTTCACTACATCTTTATATTTGAGAATCGGTATCAAGAACCCTATGCTTCATCTCATTTTATATAGAAAAAAAACGAACACTGACTATATTAAAATGTAAAGATGATTCGTGCTTTACTATCTCGTATTTCCAAACTTCCAGAAAAGAATACTTAATTCCAATATCGTAATAGAAATAGCAATTCGTAATAGAAATCTCGTTACACGTCTCATGGACGGTCGTTGTAAATTCATGGTTATCTTGAATTCCGGAACTTTTTAATGTCGGAGGTTGTCGAAGGTGCGTCGCGACGTTTCTCCGATACGCGTGGATTACACGTCGCAAAAAAGTTGCATTAGGAACGTGATCGTACAAGATCGTAAAGCTCCGCGCAGAACGTCTTTCAGCTTGGGTGAAATCGTTCCGGACAGTTGGAAGCGCGAACGATAAATTGCGATCGCACGCTTCGACGCTGTATCACTTATCGTACGCGAGACTCGTTTTCTGGCTTGGAGTACGCCCACGTACAACACGGGAAGAAGAGGTGCTTTCCTCGAGGCGCGTAATCGAGCCGCGAACACGCGTATATTTAAACCGCCACGTAAGTTGGACCGCCTTCGAACCGACGTAAGTCGTTCGCCACGACTCCACTTTTCTTCTTTCCGTTCGAACGTTATCGTGTCGCGTTTACATCAGAACTTGACGCCAGAAGGAGCGTAATACCGCTAGTGCGTTCCCAGTCGACGACCGTCGAATGATGGATGTTAGAGATACTAGAGCAGTGGGCGCTAGAATCACGAGCGTAGAATGAGTGGGAAAGACTACTAATAAAGTAGCCGCTTCGGACGCTAAAGTAATAGACGTTATTAGCGTGCTGAAGGCTAGAGCGATGTACGATGGATATTAACGCGATACTGACACAAATAATTGTAGAATGATGGAAAATCAGATTGATGTGTGTCTATCTTGATAGAGGGACATTAGCATGTTTGATGATAGAATGCTTCCAACATAGTTGGTGTAGCGTTTGAAGGATGAGTATTAACACGTTTGACGGTAGAATGAGTTCTTGCATAGTTGATGCTACATTCACAGTTTGAAGGGTTGACATTAACGTGTTCGACGGTACAATGAGTTTCAGCATAGTTGACGCTATTCTACGCTCGGAACATCTTTGACGGTAGAATGATTGATTCTAACGTAATTGACGCTAATAAATAACGTTCGACGAAATAGGCATTAACACGTAGAATGATAGGTTCTAACATGGTTAACGCATATAACCAGAGTGGCATTCGACGATAGAATCATGAATTCTAGAATAGGTGGCGTATAATACATTTAACGCTTGAAGGATGGACACGAGCACGTAGTATAATAGGACTCAGGACGTTAACACATTCAACTAAAGGATGGTATAAACATATTCAGAGGTAGAATTCTAGCATACAGTATTCAACGAAGAATATGCACATTCGATAGATTATGAATTCTGATATAGTTATAGCATAGAAGAATGGACATAGATGGGATCTAACATAGTTATAGCACTTTCAGCTTGAAGAATGAGTATAAGCACGTTGGACGAAGTTCTAGCATAGTTGACGCTAGCGCCTGAAGGATGAGCGCTATAAGCACCTAACGTCGAAGGAACCTAGCGCTAACGACAGTCGGCGCGATAGACGCTATAACGATGTATCTTAACGTAATGAACACCGTAACGATAGGTCCGAACGCTATAACGACGGATTCTAATTAATGAACGCTATAACTTGATCTCGGTGCGCTAGAACAAATGGAGCAAGAATAAGGCTACAAGAAAATTATCATTTGGCAGATTTCACTGTCCGTTATTATTCCGTTATCACCGGAATTCGTTACCGCGAAAATTGCGTCCGGAGCAATCGATCGTGACTTCATCGTCTACGATAGAGTCACGGAACGAACGTGGTATTTGTGCGAATTCGATGTATCTAGTGGCATAAGGTTTTTGAAGGTGGTCCAATTTGCTGTCGGTTCAACGTGCTCTGCGGTTCCCTGCTCCCGGCCAAAGACTTCTTCGTGACGGCGATGACTGTTCGCCGCTACGACCTTCCTTACTTGATTTATCGCGCTGGTCGACTCGAGATATCGAAAGTAGCTCGTCACGGAACATCTGTGAAACTTTTGACGAGTTGACGCTCCTTCTCTCTCTCCTTCTCTTCTGTTAACACTCGAAACGCACATGTGCTCCTCCTTTGGACCGGTGACACGCCGTGTTTTCGAACACACGCGTTTCTCTTTAACGTTTATCAGTCGTTTATTTTGCTCCGTCTATTCGGAGGCCAACTAGGAAGTTGTACCAAGAACCAAGTTGCCGGGCACAATGTTGATCGGGTAGGTAGCAAGGTTGCATACTCTAGCGATGGAATCATTGTATGTTATCGATAAGTGCGATCTGATAACGAGTCTCAGAATGAACATTTTATTCGCGAATTAATCGTGCAGTACACGTGAAATTTTATATCGGATTAGTTAACAATCTCCGATTGTAAAATCTTTTATCGGAGCTGCATTTTTCTTGCAGATTAATTTGAAACTGTTTACGGTTGTGCAACATGAAAGGCGTAGAATGAAATGGCGTAGATTTTCTGATGGATAGCTTGTGGATGTTCTTTCGATTACACGCAGTGTTCCGAAGAAAAAATAATCAAATTTCTGCAAGACTACTTGCAGTGGTTGCATGCGGTACGAGTATCTATTCGAAGAAATGTTACGACAATTTTCTCCAAGAAATTAGAATTCCCTCCACATCGATAGCGTTAAATATTTGATAAAACCTTTACACAGAGTGCATCGCATGAAAAATTGATAAGCGAGTAAATTAGAAGCGTATCCAATGTTGTCCGTTTGGGACATTATATATTCCGGTGATTCGATCTAGCAGATGAATTTGGCGAGTTGCTTTCGAAGATTAACGATTGATAAGATTAGTGGACGTTGAATTGTCCCTTTACAATTTGAACACCTCGCGAATCGATAACGCATTAATTTTCGAAAATGAATTTATGGTAAAAAATGTTGACGTTAAAATTTCGATGTTATTAAGATACGTGTAACGACCGGGTGTTAACGCTAGAATGGCGCTATCATAGTTGACACTAATAGGGTAAACGCTAAAATAATGAGCGCTAGAACGAATGGCAGTACCGTGAATACACGGATTACTGCTCGCTCTTAATTATTACGATCCATGTAGCACAAGGTATACACGCGGTTATTCGAGCATTTCCTTCACAATTTCCTTTTTATTCGCGAAATGAACGCTCGGCGAAATATCCCGAGCACTTTTCAGATAACACCACCGGGCAGGAAGAGAAGCCAGCAACTATGAAGGTAGCAAACTTCTTTGATACTTCTTCGAAGTAACTCGGCTCGAGCTTCGTTAGCGTCATTTTCGTCCTCCACTTTCCTCTCGTCTCGTTTACGAGTTCAGAACTGGCGTGCTCGTTTGCTTAGCACCCCGTCCTCTTCTCTACCCATGCGTATTACACATCCTCCTTGACGCGTATCGAAAGTTTTCACGACTTATCCCATTATGAAGCCTCGGAGTATCTCGTTTTCGCGAAAAGCAGAGTCGGACGCGTCGCTCGGGACAGGCGGAGTCTTCGGTTAAACCGATTTATCGTGTACGGTTGAGCATTCCTCGGCTAAATTGGATCAACCGGAAGCTTCGAATCCTGATAATCTTGTCGAATCGTTGCCGTGGATCGTTAAAAATCTTCCGATAACGTCTTCGAGCAATTTTCCTCCGCTAATCCAACCTTGCGTGGATGAACGTTTATTGATTTTATGGTTCGTCGGTTTGCAAGCTCTTATAAATACTATTCACTTGTGTTTGATATATAGTTGCATTCAACTTAAATGTTTCATGAATAACTAGTTGCGGTTGATGCGTATACACGTCAATCTAGGACTCTGTTCTGATCCACATGACTGATATTTGTTCTTTTAAATCAAAGTATATTATGATTATTTTTTATTACTTTTTTATTTTAGTTTTAACCTAACAATAAGTGGTAATCAAACTTAAACCTAAGGAGAAATTTTTGGAACCTTTTACAGTTAACTACTTGGCTCATAATATCGTGACGCACTGACGCACATAACCTGAAACCTGACTCAACGACAAATCTGACGCACATTTTCCCCACGAATGTCGAGTTTAATTGTAACTATAATTCGTGTAATCAATGATCACAATAAATGGTCATAACATAACCCTATGTTATTTGTACAATCTTCTGTCTTAATGTACAATCTTCTGTCTCTGAATTTGTACAATCTTCTGTCTCTGAACCTTCACCGAAATCATGGGTTAAGAAGCTAACAGGTTAATAAAAATGAAGATAGTATTCTGCACGGGGAGATGAACAGGGAAGAGTATTATGTCTGTCGGTAGCATAAGACCCCTTACAGGGGTAGGTTCGGGCGTGAAGAGAGAAGCAAAAGCGGCGCAAAAGCGTCTGGTGTCCGAGGACGGTTCGTTGATCCGCGATCCGCAAAAGCGGGTCCGCCGGCCCTTCTTCCAGTTGCCGGTGACTAAGCCAGACGGGGGGACCCGGGACGTCAATTATAAGGCCTTAATCGGAAACCCGTCCTTACTTCTGTTGGCTTACACTCGGTCGTGCCACCCGAGCGAGACAG